TTCAGTGTAGCATTTTATTACATGAAATTTTGTACGTGTATATATCTGTCCAATCAAAGCTGCAGTCTAGATATTAAAAAAAATATCCAACTAAGAGTACAAGTCACAATAAGTCTAAATCAATTTTATTGTAGCACAATAGATTGGACAAACGTTTAACAGTTTACTTGTCCTGTGACAGGAATACCAGTCAGTTATGGGCTACATATATTGGCTTAAAAAGTTGTCCAGTTGCATTTCTCAATTTATAAACAGGTTTATTTGAAATTATGGGTATCTCTGTGACTATTCTTGGTTTCTGAAACCTGCCTATGTGATTTGTTATTATGTCTGCCAATTATACAGTGATATAGGACATGTAGTGTTACCCTGGTCCATACCTCAGGCCCCGGGGTTAGGAAACAATCTTAGACTTTAGTTTTGCTTAGCTTATTACTTATGACGTCACTTTTCATGATGTTATTTGTGACTGCACTGTATGTTTTTCATATGTAAAACGGGTGTTTACCCGTACGTTGTAAGAAAATGCCTGTTTTACGTACGCTTAAAAAACTTATGTTTTATGGGTGTGATGTTTTACACAGGTGTTTTACACCCGTTACAATACTCCCGTTTTATGCATGGTGACCAAAACATGTGTAAAACGTTTTTCAGGCGTTTTTTATACGCCCGTAAACCACCTGTTGTACTTTTTCCTGTATATCTATAAGTTGTATAAGTTCATTTATGAAGTGTTTTATGTGTGCAGTTGCTAGTCAGATGTGATCCTATAGATGTGGACAACTGGTGTGTGGACTGTTTAGATAGGTTTGATCATCACAGCTCCTGAGGAACTTGACAGGTAGTTCTACAGAGGTAAGGGTGTATCAGCTGCGACTTACTGTTTTAGTTCTCTAGACATAAAATTTTATAACATATTTCTGGCTTGAATCAGGATAAGGTTTGTTGCAGATTTGTCTGTCTTGTTACATTCCTATGGAAGCGTACCCTTCATTAAACATGGAGTTCCGGTGACCTGGTGATGCTTCAGACCAAATTTGATTCAAATTGTTCCATCCAATTATATCTATATTCTTATATTAGGCTCTGTCCTCCTGCTCTCAGTGGGGCCACACTCTTTGTTTATTTATTGTTGAAACCTCTAAAAGTCCACTGCTCCGGACCAGATTTTATTCAACTCCCTTCACCCATACTGAAGCAGTTGTCTTTTAAATATTTACCTTTATTTCTCCTATTGGGCCTTGCCCCTTTGCTCCCCCAAAGGGGGTCATCCTCTCCATTTATGAAACTTTTAGTCCCATTCTGCCTAGTGATGCTCTTGAAATGTTTATCTCACTTAACCATATTGTTAAGGGGGAATCAGAAACCTAAGTGTGAACTAGCACATACAATCTGCTAACACTATCCATAGCATGTTGGTGGCTCCTAATGAGATTCAATGTTGGATATAGGGTGTAGCTAGGCCCAAAATGGAAAAGAGAGGTAATGTTGATAAAATCTATTACAGAATCTTAGCCAGAGACTGAGATAACCTGATCTCACTCGGTTACAGGTAATTGACTTTTTTCTCTCGTACATTTCGTTAGAAAAACTATTCGATATTGCTACAGTCTACAAGTACCCTCAAATAAATATTTCCTAATCACTGCTAAAGCTATGTTTGAATGATCCTGCTTAAAAATGCAGTCCATCCTTGCAAAGAAGACAACGTATTTCACATTGTAGATTATACTTTTCTGCAACATCAGGAATCTAACAACATCAAAACTATATATATATATAAAATGATAAAACAGAATATTTATAATGCAGATTGTCAATTTCAGGCCATTATTGCACAGTTGAATACATGTACATTGTTGTGTGAAAATTCAGTGAAATGTTGTGTAAAGATGCATGACAGATCAGAAGAGATAGAAAAATCTTGCATGGGTTATCACATGGGATACGCCTGTCTGAGGTGTGAAAAATAAAGATCTACTACATGTTCTACAGAACTGTTACCGGGTTATTAACTTTGTTTTATTAGCTCACCTGGCCCGATGGGCAATGTGTGCTTAACGGTATGCCTTACTGCGTCGTCCGTCGTCTATCCATTAACTTTTTCTTTTGAACGACTTCTTCTGAAGAACTGGAGAATCTAGGGTCACAACATTTGACCAGTAGGTAGATGGGATGGAGTGCTATAAAGTTTCCCCATTAAAATGACCTTGACCTACTTTCAAGGTTACAGGGGTCAAATATACTACATATACTTACATTTTGCTAGGATCACTTTTATTTTTGGGCATATGTGAAAATAAATATTTTATTAAGTTCATACTGAGGTTATTTTTGAAAAATTGATTGTTCTTTTAATTCATCAGCACGCAAAAATTCCAAATTCAAATTGTAATTACAGTAGGAAAATGAGCCACAGGAAAAGTGTTACCCTTACAATTGGTAACAACGAGGTACTGTATTCACTAAAAAAATAAAATTGAACAAAGCTCATCCTACATAAACAGAAACTGTTTTAGTATCGAGTGTGATGCCCACGAGCATCAATTACAGCTTCACAACGTCTGCGCATGCCCCGAATGAGATCGCATATCCTGTTTTGTGGGATAGCATTCCACTCAGCTACCAAAGCTGTTCCCAGCTCCTGGAGCGTTCTTGGCTGAACATTTCTGGCAGAGAGAGCTGTATGCAGCATGTCTCACACATGCTCGATGGGATTTAGATCCGGCGAGCAGGCTGGCCAATCCATTTGTTGCTGTAGATACTGCTCAGTCACCCTTGCTCTATGTGGCCTAGCATTATCGTCCATAAGGTTGAAGTCAGGGCCGATAGCGCCAGCATAGGGTGTGACATAGGCATAAAGGATTTCATTGCAGTAAATCTGGGTCGTTACGGTACTATTAAGGAAGACATGGAGGTCAGTTTTCCCACGAAGGCTTATGCCTCCCCACACCCTCCCTGAACCTCTGCCATATCGGTCATGTTCCACAACGTTACCTGCCTGGAACCTCTCCCCAGGTTGTCTCCATACTCTAACGCGCCTGTCGGTGAAGTCGAGACAGAGTCTGGACTCGTCAGTAAAAAGAACAGGTTCCCATTCCTGGAGAGTCCAAGTGCTGAGAGCTTGGGCCAAATCTAATAGGTCCCTAACATGGCGGGCAGTTAAGGGAACTCGTATTGCTGGTCTACGTGACCTAAAACCAACATCATGAAGACGGTACCTAACAGTTTGAGTGGTTACCCGGGTACCAGAAGCATTTAGGAGGTCATTATGTAAAGCTGTGGCAGTCTGGAACATGTGACACCGTGTCTGTATGAGCAAAAATCGGTGGAAAAACGTGCACACGCTTTTATGGTTGACTGAACACATGCACACACAACGATTTGGAAGGCTAACATATTCGCTCAAAACAGTACAAAAGGAAAATATAAAATCCTTTCTAACATTTTGATTTTTTTTTTAAAATAAAGGTGATCCTTAGCAAAATGTTATTAGTATATATTTTAAAAAATTCAAACAGCAATATTTAAAGGACCATAAGGACTAGAGTCATGATACTTGGGTAATTGTTATGAAGACAAGCAGTGATAATCTTTTTCTTAATTACAGTAATGAGGTCAAAGGTCAACTTTAGGTGCTAGTCAGGGGGCAAAGGTCAACATAGGGTAAAAGCTTTAATAATCTCCTTCTCAAGTTCCATTATGTCCAGGGTCATGATATTTGGCCAGTAGGTACCTAGGGTGGAGTGATATAGTCACAGGGGTCAAATATGTTAAAAACTTCAAACAACAATATCCTAGGAACCATTTGGACTAGAGTCATAATACTTGGGTATATTATGTAGACCAGCTGTGTGAGAAGATTTAACAATCATCTTCTCAAGTTCCATAAGGCCCAGATAAATTGCAGCTACATCATCCAAGGACACCGTCTTCATATGACCTTTGATTTTGCAATGCTGCCAAATCCCAAACAAAAACAAACTGAAAATAAACCTGTTCTCTAGCTAATTGATTCAGAGAAAACTTATCAACTTTAACAAAATCAATTTTAATCAGACATTGAACAAAATTAAGCTGTTCTACCTTCCAGATAAGGAATGATTTAACAAAAGAGAATCAAATAGGAATAAGAAATGAAAGAGGAAGTTAGGAAGAAAAGTTTAGGCAACAAACACAAGAACTTATTTAGGTCTCCTTTGAACAGAAAAATCATCTATTTGCCATTAGTACAATGGCTAGTTTTGTGGATACTGAACTGAATTTAATTACTTTTTATATTGTGGAATACATCTGTATAATAAATAAACACAAATATTGTTAAAAAAAGTGTTGGTTTTGTGTATTGAGAGATGGTCAACATGCATGGTTTCAATTTAGCAGAATCGTTATAACTCCTGGTCTAGTTCAGATAACAAAAGAAACAGCAATTTCAGGTCTCATGGGCCTGTTATGTCATTTTTCCTATTTTATTCTTTTCTCTACTTAAATACCTCTCAGTACAATATATGATAATAAATCAATTCAGCTTGGCCACTTTTTTCTGTAATTCCAAAGTTAGAGAGTGTGTGATTTTATGGTGAATGTATAAAGGACCTATCTAGCCTAATAATGTATTTCTTTACATTGTAACAATTTCCTGTAGGCGTAATATGAAAACTGGTATCATCCTTTTGATACAATGTCAACTGCATGATTTCCAATGTAAGTCAATTGAAAGCTGGAGCACCTGTTGAGAAAGCAGTCACATGACATAACAAGTGACGTCACAGATATTTCCGAGTGTCCTGCCGGTATGGCGGTTAAAGTGAAATTCTGCTCTGCCACTAAACGATAATTTTGGATTTTTAAGTGCTTCAGCGATCACCGTTTTACCGTACAGGTAGGTGTTTACATTTATAAGTCGGTACATACAATATAAAGCTCTACAAGACCGTGATAAGTGTTCACTTTCGGACATTTCACTTAGATCTTCTCCAGCTGATCTTCACGAAAATTACAAACCGGAAGTGAAGCGGGAAGTCTGACTGCAATAAACATTGCAGTTAGCTAGCTATAGATTACACACACAGGTGTTGGAAATGTTTCCAGTTGTTTAATGGATGAAATAGAAACATGTTACAGAATTAGTTTACGCGGGTGTGGAAATGTTTTCCTGTACGTCGTTGGGACGGGGATACAGGTGTGAGGACGATACACGGGATTCACCTGTAGCACAAGGGAACCCAAAATTGACAGGTGAGGTGGTACCGACCTATGTATGTTTGGGTCGTCTGTGGTCTCGGTTAAGTCTCAAACTTAGGACAAACTGCATCGTGTGGTTATATTTTGTCTGATTACTTTTGTATTGTACCAGTATCGACGTGTACATGCAATGGCAATTTTAACGGGACTTTATGCAAATTCGTACGTCACAAATCTTGTTATGTTCTCAGAGTAACGTAATAAACGTTAGCTATTTTATAAGCCTTTGATTGGACTTTATTCTGTTGTATACTTTATTTGGAAATCTTGATGTTACATGCGTAATAAACCTGACATAGGCTAGCTAGTACAGACTACAGGACCTAAACAAGTTCTGCATGCCCACAGGCATTATGCTTACTGATCCATATGACAGGTCACCCTTGTTAAAATAGCGTGTCACTATCTTCACGGAAATTGAATCAGGAAAAAATTATCATATTTTTGTTTGTTACTCTCAATTATCAACATCATCATTTATCAATGTATACTGTATGTTTTGACATGATATGTTATTTTAGTAATTACATATGAAATCTTTGAATAATTATATCTTTATTATTTTATTATTTCTTAATAAATCTGTAAATAGATAGTAATGGAAAAATAAATTAAAACATATATTTGATATGCACCATATAGAGATTAGTCAATTAAATTTATTGCTCATTTTTAATGACTTACAAAATGTATATACAATGTGCAATGTGTAGATATACACTAATGAAGTCAGATCTAGAGTGTCAATTTTTTCATCACTATAATCTTCAATTTCCTTTCGGCTTTGTGTCTTTTTTGAAGTGATTTTCTTAGGTGCAAATCCAGGATTAATATTAGTCATAGTACATAAAAAGTGTACAGGTTGTGAGGATTTTTTTAAAAAAGTTTCTAGGTTAAAGAAATATTTTGCATATTTTTTCCCTTATTGTTTTTGGTTGTGAGGTGTTGGGGAGTCCAGAGGGGAGTTTAAGGTTATTTGGGAGAGGGAAATAATTGTTAAAATTATCATCAACAATTGTATTCTTTCAAATTGAATTCAGCCAAATTCATCAGGCAATGTCCCAGATTTTTAAAATCCTTTCGATTTAACAACATAGTAATTATAACACAAGAGTAATGGTTACGACATCTTCGCAAGTCTAAGGGTTACTATCCTGTGCAATTTGGTCTACCTACTCTTCACAGGTAGACCAGATTGTAACCCTTAGCTAGCGAACATGCCATGATGGTTACAACTATAATCCACTTCAAGTTGTCTTTTCAACACAACATATATCTATCAAAACAGGTCGATATTTGTACTTTATTTAGTGAAGGTATCACAGCATTATACTAATTGAATATTAGGTTGTGAAATTAATGATATTTAGATCATCTATATCGTCTCCAGATCCTGTTTGTATATGAAAGAACATTTAATTAACAAACTCATGTGCATTAGACATTGCATGTTATGTACAAACTACTGTTGTGATCCTAGTGATAGATTTAGGATTAAAAGTTTTGCTCTTAGATATGATGGGTTTTTAAATAACAAGTACTCAAGGTAAAAAGTCAGCCATGCTCATGTTGATGCCAGTGCATCCCCATATGAAAGTCATGTTCAGGAGGCACTGACTATTTGAAAGATAGTCCTCATATGAAATCAATATTATGGCCTGTTTGACTTAACAATTCATTGGTTTTTAATTGCATTTTGTAATAAAGATTCAATTGTAGTTTGTAATTAAAAGAACTCTCAGACGTCTGTTTTCCGATTGCAAGTTAAGCTCTCTCATTGTTCGAGACGGCTAGACCACATGCCCTCGTTTGAGTAAGAATCCTTGTGTTCTAAGATAAAGCTGTGACCAAATAATAATTGAAAAAAACAACTTTTGGAAAGTCTGTTAGGCAGTACATATATAATAATTGTATATAAAAAATTGTATGAGGTAGCCTCATAATTATGAAGACCCCCTCCTCCTCCCAGTCCTCACCAGGCGTGGTCAATGATTTATTACACCTGTAACTCATTCACCCCAGAAGACACATTTGAACTCTTCCAATTCAAAGGTTGGAATAGTTCATTATGAAATTTCAGGGGTGGATGAGTTAAAGCAGAGACTAAGGGCTGGTGAGCATATGCCTTCCCCATGAAGCGAACGAAACATTCAATTTCTGAACCTCCAGACACACAGGAATGTTTGTAATGTCCTTCAGTGATAACAATGTTTGAAACTACACAACTTTTTTTACTGTAGTTCATATTTTATCATCTTAATAAGTGCCCCTTTAAGCCATTTTTAGGTGCCCATGGCACTAATTACAGCAAATATGGTATTACATTAAAGGGGTTATGATCAAAGAACTTAAAAAAAAACCTACTGAAGAGGCAGTCTGGTTTGAAGCACGGCTCTGGCTGAAAGGAAGGAACTGGAAGAGAAGGCTATTGTACTAGTATTGTTTGTTGATTAGCAGAGATCACTTAAAGCTAGCACACATAGATATATAGACTGGCTTCATTCAGCCACAGGGGCTAGCAAAGATTTATATGGGATAATAAAAATAGTGAGAAAAAATATGTAACTGTACATAACACAGTTACGTATTTTTTTCTCGCTATTTTTATTCTTATCCCATATAAATCGTTGCTAGCCCCTGTGATTCAGTAAAGTATATATCTAATAGAGAGATCAAAGGAGTCGGGTCCAATTAAGTTACTATGAACATGTACAACATGGTTCTACATGTGTTTAAAGTCCCTGTGAACATTTTGCTGTGTGGGTTATGAATAATTAACATTCATTGTAGCGGAGAAGAATTTCCACGTGTTCAAGATAAATAACTTATGTTGAGTAGGATAAGGATGATATGATGGAGATTTTTCAATGCAGTATGTAAATACTCAATTACTGACCTTGACTACAATGATTGATATATAATTTACAGAATGGACAATTTAAATTCACATTGAGTCGGATTCCATTGTTTAACAAATATACATTGTTAAATATGAATAATTTAAGTTGAGAATTGTCAAACTTTATAAATATTAGCTGAGGTAAATGCACATTATAATTTATATCATGGAATTTTTGGATAAAAATAAATAAAAATAACATTGAGTTTAAAACCAATGTTGTGATTTGCCATCGACTACTAAGAGGTTTGTTCAGACTGGATATGAAACCCCTTCATGTGTACACTATTTATGTACACTGCAATACTTATGTGTTGTATAGAACCTTTGTTTTCCACATTCCATAGAATTGATTTGTGCTCAATACTTTTAAATACACAAACTATTTTTGTCATATCAATATTAGATTATTTTGAATGCCTGCATTTCTAAAAATAACTTGATTTAATGAAATAATGATGGGTGGGGTTGGTAATAAAAAGTTTGTTGCTATAAGCTATATATAACCAAACAGGTAATATAAAGGTGACCATACAGGTAATATATAGATGACCATACAGGTAATATAAAGATGACCATACAGGTACAGGTAATATAAAGATGACCAAACAGGTAACAAAAGATAACCATACAGGTAATATAAAGATGACCAAACAATGTACATGTAATATAAAGATGACCATACAGGTAATATAAAGCTGACCATAGAGGTAATATAGCTGACCATACAGGTAATATAAAGCTAACCATACAGGTAATATAGCTAACCATACAGGTAATATAAAGCTGACCATACAGGTAATATAAAACTAACCATTCAGGTAATATAAAGCTAACCATACAGGTAATATAAAGCTAACCATACAGGTAATATAAAGCTAACCAGACGGGGGACTGAACAGATCTTTGATAAATGTTTATTTATTACTGTTTTACAGGCCAGACCCTCTGATCCCAGAATTGTTATTGTTTACAAAGCACACATACTCTAGCAGTTTATTGTTGTAAATGCAACCCTGCATGGCCGGCAGGAGAAGGCTTCCTGGCTAGTCTTCAGTTGCCCATCTGAGAAGCCGTACCATACTGCGAACTCTTTCAGGTAAGTGCTCTATCTGTTTAGATTTCTGAAACATTTCATTTGAAAAGCCATTTTTTCTAAGAGGTTGTGGTAAGTCCTTCCTATTTCACTTGTTGAATATTTTTCCTTTGTTTGAATCACAAATCACTTATTTAACCAAGTAATCGACCATGTACCTGCTCTTAATAATGTAAGATTAAACGACTTTAACTTTGACGCGAACAAATATTTGCCAAGAAATTCTACATTTGTAAGATTAGTTAAGTCTGTAATTTGTCTATAATGCACTCGTGATGTGTCTCAAACTGGTTTTACTAGTTTGTGCTGAGATTATATTTAAAAGTCTTTATACCATCGGTCCAAGATGGATGTCTTGGCTTCTGGTAGGACTCCATAATTTGCTTCATAATCAAGTCTTGAAAGCAAAGTCAGGCTGAAATCAAGGAAACACAAGATGTTATTGTGCATGTTATATTTTATCTGCTATATTAAGACTACGTGATATTATTGGAAGTAGGATCACCAGACTCTATATAGATTCCAATATACTTAGGGATATAATTAGGACAAAGATTGTTTCAGAAACGTCTAGTGTATCACCAGTGCACATACGCATGTATACACCAATTGATATAAAAGCATCAATATGCTGTGAAGCTGTGGTAAACGCTGATCGATTGTATCCATTGTGCAATGAGGTTTAATAAGTACGTTATTAATATAGAATGTGTTTGGTATGGGGTATAATTAGTACAGTTTGCTATAGGTGTGTATAAAATGTGCGAAACTGGTGTAAAAGTCTTATTGAATTGGTTATTGATACATATACACAAGAGATACTTTGCTTTCTATTGTATACTGGCCATGGGAAACTTTGGCCCAGTTATTCGTCCTTCGCTGGTAATATCCTTGTCCCCTAGTGTTAATTTCTTCCTTCACATTCAATTCCTATATAGGGTATGCCGTGTACTAAAAGTGGCTGTCATGTTAAATTGACCCAAGCGAATGTAAAACTGTGATGAAACTTTCCCAGTATGAACTACTGTATACCCAGCCCGTTTGCATGATACTTTCAGGTATCTGTTTAACTCATTCACCCCTGAAGACACATTTGAACTCTTCCAATTCAAAGGTTGGAATAGTTCATTATGAAACTTCAGGGGTGAATGAGTTAACAGGCAGCATTGATCATCTTCATACCACAAGTACAGTAAATATACTGTTAAATGACTAATACATATGAAAGCTGTCATCATATATGCAATATGCTGTGACAGACAGTTTGCTGATGTTTCGAGATTTAAAAATCAGTATCCATTAAAATGAAATGATGGGAGACAGAATGCAGGTTTTACATGAGAAGATACATGTAACTGTTGAACACACAGTAGAGTAAATCAGGCAGGTGTTTCCACAGGTGTGACGTCCTGGGATGTTAAATCTAGTTATATATAGGCATAACATATTTGAATTAAAAAAGGTTTTATGTGTATAACAGGAGAAAGAGATAGAAATACATGGCCAGACTAGGGTTCGAACCGTGGACCCTCGAAACTCTAGACGGAACTTTGGCTGCAAATTGTTTCAGATAGTCGTTAATTCTTTTATTTACTCAGGTTCTTTGAATTTTTTTTTTTGTATTTGTTTTATTTTTCAGATTTTTTTCTTTGACATATTCATGAATAAGGAACATGAAAAACCTTTAAAGTACAGCCACATTTAGTTTTAAAGACAAACAGTAATTTGTGTGGTGCATCTCTTGCTGATAAAAAAGGTATTATCTTAGTTCATAAACGTTAACGCTGTACAGGAAGAATGCTACAATGATTGTAATTGTATCCGGCACTACCAACACACAAGATTACAACAGGTATACACGGGAATACATGTACATTTAACAAATGATGGAAGAAATAGGGGTGGGGTGAGTAAATATCTTTGACTATTTTGCTAGTCTGCATGGAAGTTTCCAATTTGGATTTTAATATTGTTTTTTTTTAGTTCAGTATGTTTTACCTGAATATTGGCCATATCCAGGACCCTACGTATATTTTCTTAAATCTAATACTATTGCTACTTCCCTGGCTATACATGTACAGTGACATTCCAGGCCAGTGACAATCACCCTGAAGGTGCATTATTTTTTTTTTCATGTCTTTAGACTTTTAAATTGCTCCACGACACATTGAAGTACCAGTGACATACTCCTGCTGGTGTTATGGACAATTCTTCTGACAGTTCTCAGCAGGTCGGAGATCAGCGGGTCACACTACAATCTAGGCATGTGATACATGGCTATAATAACAGGGTTGAAAGTTTGTAAACAAACTAGCTGTTGTGCTCCTAAGGAATACCCCTACAACGTGTTGTTTGTCACTGTGAAGTAGCAGAGGTAAAAATAGATCCAAAACATGTTCCGTTTGAAAAGAGATATCTACGTGTAGGTCAGATAGAATAGAGGTCTGGGGCCCAGAGCTGGGGGTCTAATCCTTTCTGTCAGTTACACTGGGGCATTGGTGAGATTTATTAACACCAAACCCATACACCTTAACTTGTGCTTTATCAATACCATACCCAACAAACCAAGTTATTGTGAAGTAGTTATAAGGAATCGGAAAAGACCAGTCATCTACAATTGTGGGTTTTAAAATGCTAATTACCTCGTAATTGAGGGTGTGGTGATAAAAGAAGCAACATAAAAAGACTTGTTTATTGTGTAATAAGTTAACCTTAAATGTCTGTAGTCTTTATAAGCCTAAGGCAAATCAGGTTAAATCTCGTAAAAATCTTAAACATTATAATGAATCAATGCGCAAAGAAACTTGACCCTGCTAGCTTCTTATAGACATTTGGTAAGAGGATAGCTAGGGTGTTTTTTGTATGAATGTTTGCTTTCAATTGTTTAATGCGTGTATACATAATAAGTTAAGGTGTTCAGGTGGCAAAGGTGTTCGGGTGGCACGTTCAGGATAGCACTCTTGTCTTTTACCGACAATTACTTGATCACACACTAAAAAGTATTTGGTCACCTTCACGACAAAATTTTCCCCAAATACATTAACTCTGGTTCCCTTCCATATCATGATTTCCTGAGCACTCCTAAATTATGAAGCAAGTTTTATCAACTTAGATATATGAATCACTTTTGTTGTAAAATACAATTTAAAAAAAGTTTAGTTACTTATGAAGTTATGCACAAGACAAGGATACAAATGAAAGTTTTATTGATCAATTTACCTGACAAAACTCTTCAACTTTTTACCATATTTAGAAGTCAGGGTGGTAGATTTGGAGCAGATCTAGAGGTTGGCCACAGATTATCGGTTATCGGGCAGGTGTAATGATATGGTAGATTAGTCCTTTAGTAAGCCCCATTACTCACATTCTTGGCTAATCGTGTGGTCACTGGCCAGATCAAATGGTCAAGCCAAACAGTCACAAGTCCCTTGTTATGTATCAGACAAAGAAATATTGGCGAAACAATTGCATTGTTAAATTATTTTTTTTTGAATAATACATCCTTATCATCTAGCAGAACTTTAAACTCTTTTGGAATCATGATTATGCTTTGGTGTTGTAGTACTTGTGGTAGAATGAAGTGTACAGATTTGTTCTAGAATTAGTGGTAAGATATATACATATATTTATTTGATTTAGTGGTAAGGTGTAGGCTAGATATTTGTACTTAATTAAAGTGATTGAGTCAGCAGACCTGTCCATAGATGACATGTATATATACAGCAGCAGATGTGGGGTCACGTCCTATCTGTAAACACCTCGTCAGGGATCTTGTAATAGTCCTTGTGAATGTTTACCTGTAAGAGATACCAAAGGATTTTCGAGGTGACAATCAAGACTACTAAGGTCAACCCTTGAGATTTGATTTATCTTATATACAACATGTATATATATATATACACACACTATCAGGAAAATTCCCCATGTACTTAGTTATACCATATTATATTTATTTAAGAATTTGTTCCTATGTATTGACAAAAGGTATTTAATCCTAACTACCATTTCTTTGGCATTCAGGTTGTACTTATTAAATAAAACATTATTTCAATTATTTTAATTATTTTTACATATACATCCATTTAATTGTACCTTCACTACAAAGTTGGCAGGGAGGTGGTATACTGAAATCAGGTCGTCTAGCTGTCAAGTACGCATCTACTTCAGCTATCACTTAAACTTTGCATAAAATGGCTAGTTTGTTTTCATTGATTTTATACAGAGTTATGGCCCTTGATTTATTTTTTAAAAAGTTTTATTGTTTGCTAACAAAACTTTTGTGCAGTTAACTACTCCTCAAGTAATAGTATGCAATTGATTTCTAATGAAAGTTAACAACTTAACAATCATTTCCAGTCTATATACCTATCAATTAAATTACTATTTGAATACAGATATGCTTCTAGGATTGGCCCGAGGTCTGCCGCAGCCCATAAGGGCTTAGTCCCTGGCTCATAACATAAAAAGGTTCAGATCCCTGTCCTATAACCATTTATTTTACTATCTGTGTATGAACAGAAAACTATGCATAGCTACCAGGGCCTGACTCAATACTTGATGACTTAGTCTGTGGGTCATAGTGTTGAAATTATTGAGATTCCCAGCCAAAATCACATATATAATTGCAAGGCATGAAGAGTCTTAATACATATATGCTACCAACAGTGGCCGATGGATCTGTCCCCTCCCTTAGGGACTTAGTCTCTGGGTCATATAATGTTTACAGATGAGAACCTGACCCTATAACAACCTATCCCTATAACAACCTATAAAGTGGTAATCAGGAAAATTTGAATACACACATGCTATCAGAATTGGGCCCAGGGTCTGGTCCTTTCCTTGGGATCTTATTGACATTATCACTTTTAATGAAAAAAGGAAGCTATGATTGCCTTAATATCCAGGTGAGCTTTACGAGTCCTCTGGGCCTCTTGTTTTTGTCAGTGATATGACTAGACTTTAGTTAGAGACATGACATTTCTAGCTGAATTAACAAATGGATA